AGAACAAGGGAACGATAGCTAGAACAAACAAACGATAGAACATGTGAACGACAGCAAGAACAAACGACAGAACAAGGGAACGATAGCTAGAACAAACAAACGATAGAACAAACAAACGATAGCTAGAACAAAAACAAACAATAGAACAAGTGAACGATAGCTAGAACAAACAAATGATAGAACAAGGGAACGACAGCAAGAACAAATGACAGAACAAGGGAACGATAGCTAGAACAAACAAACGATAGAACAAACAAACGATAGCTAGAACAAAAACAAACAATAGAACAAGTGAACGATAGCTAGAACAAACAAATGATAGAACAAGGGAACGACAGCAAGAACAAATGACAGAACAAGGGAACGATAGCTAGAACAAACAAACGATAGAACAAACAAATGATAGCTAGAACAAAAACAAGCAATAGAACAAGTGAACGATAGCTAGAACAAACAAATGATAGAACAAGGGAACGACAGCAAGAACAAATGATAGAACAAGGGAACGATAGCTAGAACAAACAAACGACAGAACAAACAAACAAGCAATAGAAAAAGTGAACGATAGCTAGAACAAACAAACGATAGAACATGTGAAGGACAGCAAGAACAAACGATAGAACAAGGGAACGACAGCAAGAACAAACGATAGAACAAGGGAACGATAGCTAGAACAAAAACGATATCTAGAACATGTGAACAATAGCTAGAACGAACAAACAATAGAACAAGCGAAAAACAGCTACAACAAACAAGCGATAGAAAAAGCGATAGAACAAAAACGATAGAACATGTGAACAATAGCTAGAACAAACAAACGAATGATAGAACAAGTGAACGACAGCTAGAACAAAAGAACAATATATAGAATGATAGAGTGGAAAAAAACGATAGAGTGGAAAAACGAGAGACAGAACAAACAAACGATAGAACAAGCAAATGATACCTAGAGTAACTGAACGAACGATAGAACAAGTGAGCAATAGAACAAGTGAACGATAGCTAAAATAAACAATATATAGGACGATAGAGCGGAAAAACGTTAGAACGGAAAAACCAGATACAGAACATACAAACAATCAATAGAACAAATTATATAGAACAAAAACAACAGAACAAACAATAGCTAAAACAAACAAACAATATAGAGAACAATAAATAGAGCGAAAATGTGCAATGTATGATAGATAGAATGGGAAAACAAATGACAGAACAAACAAACAATAGATAGAACAAATGATAGAACAAAAACAACAGATAGAACAAACAAACAACACAGAATGAAAGAATGGGAAAACGATACAAAACGGAAAAACAAACGTTAGAACAAAAACAATAAATAAACAAACCGAACGACAGAACAAACAAACAATAGAACAAAAACAACAGATAGAACGAACAAACACCAGATAGAATGAAAGATAGACAGAATGGAAAAAAGATAGATAGGAAAAACAAACGTTAGAACAAAACAAACGAATGATAGAACAAACAAACAATAGATAGAACAAAATACTTTTAACAAACGAATGAGAGACACATAAAATTATAGAACAGATGATAGAACAAATGATAAAACAATCAAACTATATAGACAGAACTACAGAATGAAAGATAGACAGACTTTTATAACTACAGACAGACGAAAGAACAACTGATAGGTAAAACAAACAATAGAACGAATGAATGATAGTTTGAGAGCATGAATGAGCAGAACAACAGACAACAGGTTGAATTAACAAACAAATAAACAAGAACAAGATTAGTACGAAATACATAGATTTACCCTGGCAGACGACAAAGATCTCGGCGGACTCGTTTCGGGAGGCCTGCGGTTTGGTGGCCTGCACCTTCTTGAAGAACTGCTGGAAGATCCACATGAGCGGCTGGTAGTCTTTGGAACGGAAGACTTTGGTGATGAAGGTGCCGCCTTTGGTCAGGAACTCGCAGGCCAGCTTGAGCGCCATCAGCGTGAGGTTGGCCTGCGAGAAGGCGTCGTGCGACCAGTTCGCTCCAACGTTCGGCGCGCCGTCGTTCAGCACAACATCCACCTTCCACGTCTGCAGCTCCTTCCTGAGAGCCTGAGCACAGAGAGACGCTCACGTCACGAGTAGAGCTGTCACTAATAGACTTGTAACGATGCACTCAACTCACGATTCGATTTTCTCACGTTTTTGTTAACAAAAGATTCACTCTCTGCCAGCAGGTGGCGCTTATGAACAGCAATGATACAGTGTTTCCTTGGTTACAGCTGTAAACAAAGCAGCGCTGCGCTTACGAACGGCAATGATACAGTGTTTCCTTGGTTACCGCTGTAAAAAAAGCAGAGCTGCGCTTACAAACAGCAAGGATACAGTGATTCCTTGGTTACCGCTGTAAACAAAGCAGCGCTGCGCTTACGAACAGCAATGATACAGTGTTTCCTTGGTTACCGCTGTAAACAAAGCAGCGCTGCGCTTATAAACAGCAGTGATACAGAGTTTC